ACCACAGTCATGACGACAGGTTGAAAAGCTCGAGGACCGGACAACTTCATCGCCAACGACACGTCAAGCCATCTCTCGAACATCGCAACACGCCGACTACACCCACCGGTCGTCAATAAAGCTAAGTATTATTTTTAATTGAAAATTTCTTCGATCATCGTACACCTCCGCCGACCACCCTTAGGGTGCGCTCCGCGTCGAATTTTCTCCATACATACAGTCCAAAACATGTATAAGTTTTTACAATGGTTCGCCGATCGTTTTCCTCCTCGCTTGAGAATCCCAGGCAGCACTGCTCCGCTCCACCCCACGCTGCATGAGAGTCCGCCCTCTGCGCTTGGGTAGTCGGCGATCGCTCCCTCGGTAACACTGGCACTCTCTACGCGCCGGCGGCGTTCCTGCACCTCGCGCTTCTGAGATGTTGGTCAGCCAGTGGCGCATTCTTCAGGCAAAGTTAATACATCGCGCTTCACGCCACTACATAACAAAAGGGCTAAAAACAGCTAATGTTATTTTTGAATATTACACCAAGTATAATTCATCGCCAACCAACACCAAGTGTTTACTTCACCTCCTCTGAGAGATCAATATATTTCGTACATCATCATGTACTACCGCTCTCCGTGTTTATTTTTCAGGAACATAGTTTGATCAACGAGCTCATGCTTCGGGGCTCGCCAAGACCACTACGGTGCTCGAGGACTCGCCGGACCACCCTTTGTGCTCGAGGACTCGCCAGACCACTCCGTGCTCTAGGACCCTCGGGGACTCGCCCAGAGACCACTCCGTGCTCGGGACTTCAGCCGACTCCTCCGTGCTCGGGACCGCCTCGATCACTCTCGACCACGGCTCGGGGACTTCTGTCGCTCGCTCCTCGACTGTGTGGACGGGACTGCCCCGACCACTCTCCGACCACAGTCCAAGGACTGTTTCTCCTCGGCTACATGTGACTTAGACTCACATACAGTTGAGAGGCATTTATTTTCTTTGACCTTGCTACAAGGCTCATACTTAGCCTTCCAAAGAAGCTCGTGAAACCTTTCAACATCATACTTTATTACATCTCACACTCCGTCATGAGTCAAACCAGGGGCCGTACAAACCTTTCGGGATGACGTGTCGGCTAAACCGGTACAACTAAACAGAACGCCAACACGTTCTAACTTAGTTACACCAACATCATATCCGAGCTTAAACATGTTTTCTACAAAAACAAACAAGCTTATGTTGATATACAGTTACGTTATTACAAGCTTGCCTGAAAAGGTCCAAGTTTACAATAACACAACTACATCTTCTTGTACAGACCTATAGCCTACACTATTGGTCGGTCGGGGCACCTTGCTTTGTCGTCATTGGGCACGACATCGTGCTTTCGGTCTCGGGGACTCGGCATTGATCGAGCTAAAGAAGATGGCCCCACCGATGCACGGCCGGTCGAGACCATGAAGCTTCGCCGGTTTGAAGATGACGGCGCTCCCAAATGACTTGTTGATGGCGTTCCTTATGCGGTCTTGTCGCACCTCCACACGACCTTGCTACAAGGCTCATACCTCGCCTTCCGGCAAGCTCGGGGACTACAACGTACCGTCCGGCTACCTGCGACAACAACAAATTACAACAACAACCTTTACGAGCTCGGCGTTACATAAATGACAACAATCGTCCGCCTACGTGCGATGGGACTTCACCTCTGAAGGAAACATGAAGCGGCCGCGGATGATGCGTGAAATCAGCGGCGACCACAGCGTTCGGCGGCAAGAATACTGACTGATCCGGGCCTGTCTCAAACTATCCAAGTCTTTTATGGCATCGTTACCCGGCCCGACAACGCCGACGGCTACCACCGCGTACACCGATGCATCTCTCAAAAGTCGTAATCATGAGCGAGCAAACTTGGCATGCGACGATGAGCGTATCCTGGCACGCCGGCGGCAGACGGCTACGTCCAAATCCTCAACCAACAAACAACGAAGCAAGGAATTGATCTGAAGCCATACCACGAAGCTGAAGATGGACCTATCTCCATGCGTCCATGATTCAACCACTCAAGACGAAGTCCAATATTAGATCGCTCAGTACAAATCATCGCGCCATGGCAACAAGCCCGTTGGCGAAAGCGCGACGTGGTCTATCAACAACGAACCGGAGGCCTACGATCCAATCTATAAGGCAATACGAGTTCGGTATGGATAGTCATGATCTTTCAACTTGTATGTGCACACGCATACATCGAGCCATCAAGCAAGCCGTCCGAGCTGTTGGCGGCGCCAATGAAAAAGCCGCCAAGCGAAGCCACGCCGAAAACCACAAGCGAAATACGCCGAGCACGCCGCCGAGCCGACTAGCGAAGCCACGCCAAACGGCTCCGCCGAGCTCCGAAGCGATATCTTCCTTGATCGCGGTGAATTATTGGAACTACAGGATCATGCAAGCTAATTAAACGTTGAGGTTTATATACATGTATACATGCAAGGATGCATCTATCAGGCATGCAAACATCTGCATGTACCTCTCCCCACGTGGTGGACTTCATCAGCTACTCCGTAATCTTCACGCAAGCAAGGAAGATCTCCGACTACGTCGACCACGGACCACGTCGACCACGTCCCGAGCAGCTCTGCCGAGCTCCGACCACGTCGACCACGGACCACGTCGACCACGTCCCGAGCGGCTCCGCCGAGCTCCGACCACATCGACCACCAGACCACGTCGCAATGATGATCGCCGCGAAGAACGGCGCTACGACAACCGCGACCACCGTCATGACAACATGTTGGAAAGCTCGAGGACCGACAACTTCATCGCTACAAGGCTTCCCGCGATTGGGGATATTATGTCTCGACTACATGCGACGAACAACTCGCATACGATTGGGGATATTCTTTCTCATTTAGACCTTGCTACAAGGCTCATACCTCGCCTTCCAAAGAAGCTCGGGACTACATCGATAATGATGCACCGCCGTGCATCTTGTATCGCTTTGTCTGACGACGTTGATTCTCAACTTAACTGGAATTCTTTTTAGACCACGGCACCACGTGCCTCGTCCACCTACTACCGTGCTCGGGGACTAAGTGGGCACACTTCACCTTGCGGTGAATGTGTTTGTTTTCGACCTCTCGCCTCGATGATCAAGGACGCTTTCGCTTCAAGAGGCACTTACATTTCTTTTCAGAAATACAAGTGGGCACACTTCTCAGGACAGAAATCTTTTTTCTTTCTTCTTAAGAGCACCATACATTCTTGGACAACCTCCTTCTCCGGCGACAACGGTGGTCGGAGATGTCAAAACTCAAGCCTCACTGTGTTGGAGAAGGTTGAAACGGCGTGTCGATCGTAATACATGGCGCTGGGGACTAGGCTGTGGGGATATACCCCCAGGTACCACAAGATGTTACATGGGCCGCACCATCCGAGGTGGCCCGGCCCGTAAGATCAAGACGTGCATAGCAAGATTACAAGTTGTACTAGATATTATGATAGTACCAAATAGGATACTTTACTTGTAACCCTCCTCCTCCAGAGTATATAAGGAGAGGCAGGGGTCCCCCTCAGGGACAGATCCATCTAGATCCATAGAGATCAGACAACATACACCTCAATACAATACACCAAAGACACAGGACGTAGGGTATTACGTCGATCAGACGGCCCGAACCTGTCTAAATCGCTGTCTCTGCGCCTTGTGTCACCATCTGGTTCCTGATCACACGCATCCTACCGATAATCTACCACCGTGGGCACCCCCCTCGGTGGACTGCCGACCATATTTCGTCGACACACTGCAAGAGCGGTCTTTTAGGATTTAAACTAATTTTTTTAGTTCCACCGATGGACTTTAATCCCGGTTGCGTGACCCAGAACTAATGGTCCGGATCCGCAATCCCGGTTGAAAAACCGGGACTAAAACCCAGTTTCCAACCGGGATTGAAGCCCTCCTGTGTACTAGTGAAGTCGAGCTAGCTCATTATCAATCCTCAGGTAGCTAGTCTATTAATTGTCAAGTCCACCTCCTCCTGGGGCTCGTGGCATTGTGTACTTGTTTCATGACATTGGCTGCAACAGCAAAATCATGCATGCAATAGCCAATAGCTAGCATCGATCTCCATCCATGAACACGATCGAAGATCGGCAAAACATAGCAATAGCATGCAGGTACTCGACGAGATGTGAATCGTGGATGCATGTCTCAGTTTGGCATAACTCTTCTTAACTTCGCGAGTTCGACTCATTCTAACATACCAACTAATAATAATGCATGTCAAAATGTATACTCACGACAAAGATGTACATAACACACAAATAAACGTTTATGTTGCGATACAAAAGAAAGCAGAAAAAACTAAAAAATGAGGGGAGTTTAATTAGCCTCAGGCCTCTAACCTTTACCCGATCAATCTTATTCTTTAACCGAAAAATGAATTATGGTAATAACAAGTAGTTAAATAGGGCCAAAACTAATTAGCACGGGATCCTAAATGTTAAATGGCAAAGAATCGGTCACTTGTCGTTTAGCCTCGAACAAAACGGTCACTTAAATGGTAGATGATTAAACGGAAACATTATACCACTATGTAGCATTTAAATTTGAAATATTGACCAAACTCGCTAATGCCAATTGAAGATCAATTTTGAAGGATTAAACAAGAAAAAGCACTGATTTCAATTAACTAGCTAATTAGAGTGTGTGGTATGGGGACAAATTAATGTTTGATAAGCAATAACGAAAACAAAAAGATATGGAGAAAATATTAGAAATACCTAATTTTTATTTATCTAAAATACTATTATATATTAATATGGAGTAAGAACAAAAAAATTATAGTACTAATAGTATCGTTAACTAGCTAATTAGATAATTAAGCACCTAATTTAGGGGGTGTATTATGGGAGTTATGGGAAGGTTTGGGGGTGCCAGGCCCCCCTCAGCCCCCCCTTCCCTCCGCCACTGGCAGTGTTGAGGCCACCGATCCACCTCTCTCCTAGCACTAGCAGCAATGGCGGTGGAGACCCTCGAGTCCTGCATGGTGAAACCCAGCGACGCGGCGACGACGACGCCCATGCACGTGGTCTGGCTCTCCAACCTCGACCTGCTCGTGGCCAGGAGCCACACGCCCACCGTCTACGTGTACCGGCGGCCCAGCCCTGACGTCCCCGGCTTCTTCTCACCGGACGTCCTCAAGGCCGCCCTGTCCAAGGCGCTCGTCCCCTTCTACCCCCTCGCCGGCCGGCTCGCGCAGGACGGCGCTGGCCGCCCGGAGATCCACTGCACCGGCGACGGCGCGCTCTTCGTCACCGCGCGCGCCGACGTCACCCTCCAGGACCTCGCCGGCGGCGGCGGGTTCGCCCCGTCGGATGAGCTGCGGAAGATGCTTGTCCCCTCGGCTGCTGACGGCGAAGACCGCGTCGGCATCTTGGCCATGTTCCAGGTCACGTCGCGCCGTGATGATTTGATCAGTCAGACCGCACGTACGGATTGGTAGTAGTACTTTGTACGGACATGCAGCGCTAGCTGACGCTTGTTGCGTCTGCCTACGTATACGCAGGTGACGTCGTTCAAGTGCGGCGGGGTGTGCGTGGGCGCGGCGATCCACCACACGGCGGCGGACGGCCCCGCGGCGCTCGACTTCGTCAACACGTGGGCCGCCATCGCGAGCAAGGGCGTCGACGAGGCCGCGCCGCGCCCATGGCTGGACCGCACGGTCCTCCGCGCGCGCTCCCCTCCCGACGTGCGCTTCGACCACAGCGAGTACGCCCGGCGCCGTGGCGGCGGTCCAAAGACAGCGAGGGTCCCGTTCGACTCCGCCATCCTGCCCATGTCCAAGACCCAGCTGGACGCTCTCAAGGCCGGCGGTGGCCAAGGCAATAAGAAGGTATCCACGTTCAAGGCCGTGGTCGCCCACGTGTGGCGGTGCGCGTGCATGGCGCGCGGGCTGGCGGAAGACGACGACACCCGCCTGTACATAACCGCCGACGCGCGCTCCCGCGTCCGCCCGCCGCTCCCGGCAGGGTACCTCGGCAACGCCATCTTCCGCGCGTCAGCGGTGGCCAAAGCGGGCGACGTCGTCTCGGAGCCGCTCGACGCCGTCGCGGGCAGGGTGTCCGGCGCCACCGCCCGGCTGGACGACGAGTACGTGCGGTCGCTGGTGGACTGCCTGGAGCAGGTGGTGAGCGACGCGGCGGGGCTGCGCAAGGGGGAGTGGGTGATGCCGGAGACCGACCTGTGGGTGATAAGCTGGCAGGGGCTGCCCATCTACGACGCTGACTTCGGCTGGGGCCGGCCGGCGTTCATGGGCCGCGCGTGCCTCCAGTTCAGCGGCCTCGTGTACCTCGTCCCCGGCCCGGACGGCGACGGCCGCCTCGACGTTGTCGTGGCCATGGAGCCCAAGAGCCTGGCCAGGTTCAAGGAGCTGTTCTATGAGCTCATCAAGGGTGCAGGTGTTCCGTGCATGGCCGAATAAAGAGATAACATGCAGTTCTGTTGTACAACATCTCTGGCAAAATAAAGACATAGCATGCAGCTCTATTGTACGTAGTAGTTTTCTACTGGATCTGTTCTATGAGCTCAAGTGCTAGCTATAGCCGCATAAGCTGCTGTCTTTGTGCAGGTGCAATGCAACTCCTGAAATTGGTTCCTTGGTGTTCATGCTGATGTTCGCCGGACTTTTCCTTGCAACGCATTGCGTTTCTACCTTTTTTTTTACTGTACTGCTATCATGCAACGGCACGGTATACTACTGTTTTTATATTAAGGAATAAAAGTAATCTGGCTTCCAACATCTACCAAGTGAATTAATGATAGTACGTAGCCGTCCAATACAAGTATCAGCTGGTACTAGACCAATCTCGTTAAAAATGAGAAAAACACACCGAAACAAAGCTCAATAATGAGCCGACTCAACCACTGTGAAAAACTTAATCTTCAATCTTATTTTGGTATATCTCCGCTCAAACTTTCTGAAGACGTCACCGTGACCTCCATCAGACGACATCCTTCCTTCGTTTTCGGTCTCTCTGCGGTGATCACGTGGCGCTCGATGCATGCATAATGCATTGCTGCTGTGCTAGTACTGCAGCATTTGGCAAAAGTAGGAGACCGTTCCTGGTCATGAAAAAGTGGGTGTGGGGTTGGGGGTGGTTGCAACTTTATTCGTTTTGTATGACACTCCCCCGCGGCCCTGTCCGAAAAATGTAATTCTCGTTTTTTAAAATCAATTAACTTAAAGTTTGACTAAAATTATATAATAATTCACTAACAATTATACTAAAAAATAAATACCATTAAATTAGAGACATAAGTATTAACATTATTTACTATAAACCCGAATAAAGTTAAACTAGATTGACTTGTACATATCTTATGGCCCCGTATAAACCCGAACCGCTTAAAGTTTTTTCAGCCACTGTTTTCTAACAACAATTCGTTAGAATATTTTCGGTATGAGTTTCAGGAAGCCGAACGGAGCCTTAATTCATTCTTTCGTGGACGTGGACAGAGGGAATACCGACAACAATTATTCTGGTCTGATTGCCTAAACTTTATTTTAAAAGAAGCTACACATAAAATTCGGGTACGATTTGCAGAAGTCAGGCGAGTGGCATACAGATCAAAAGGAGAGAGGGACGCTAAAAAGGAGCAAGAAGACAAAAACAAACACAATAACTAAAGCTAATTGCATGATGACAAAGCTACGTCAGGAAGAAAAGGCTCTCCACGCTTTCAGACTAATAGCCACGATGCGATGAGAAAACGATACGGTAAGCCTCGGGTCATAATATTATTACACAGAACAATGCTCAGTTGAAAAGGCTAACCAGCTGTGAAAAAGTAGTTCCGCCTTGTATACTTTGATAGAGAGTATGCTGAACACACTATCGATAGACTGTTGCTTCACCCACACACGCAAAAAAAAAAAAAGGTAGAATGTTGCTTCGCATCGTCATGAGGACATGAGGTGATATATCATATTCTTTTTAGCATCGACTCCACTGCGGCTTGTCTAAAGATGTGAAGGAGTCAAAGCCGGCGAGCTAAAAATAGTGGCTTTATTAGTCCATAATTCATTTTGACAAAAAGATATATAAAATAATTCTTTCTAGCCATGCTTGAAACTGTTTATCTGATCAGGATTTTCTAATAAGTTGTGGTCCAAAAAATCTAAGCATGAAAAATCAGGGTGTTTGACAATCTTAATTATTATAACAACTCTAAGTGTAAAAACACCTTTATGTCATTCTTCTTCCTCAAACCACCGGACATTTCCTCCACCACTAGGGTTGCGTGAACAGAATCAAATATCAAGCCTCCTACACTCTGTCGACTCATGTGTGACACGCCCGGCCTTCAGCACTGCTCCTCCATCGACCCCGCAACCGTACGTCTGCCAGGCCCCGGCTGCAGCACCTGATTCAAAACACAGGATCAAGTGTTCTTTTTGTAGTGGGGGGCTTTAAATTACATTCTTTGATAGGGTCATCTTAGATGAATGGAGAGGAGTGGCCCAAGTTCATCAAAGCTCACGAGTAGCACTGTAGCAGAATGGGTCCATCAAACGTCTAGGTAAGCGTGAGGACGACACTACACTAGCGACAGAGGTGTCCGGTTTCAAAGTATCTGGCGCTGGAAGAATAATATAATCCATTATTAATAAGGTGTGAGAGCCACACCGAATAATGAACAGTGAATAATGAAGATCAGCCCAGAAGCGAGAAGACAGCCATGCATGCTACCTATACCAATTACCATTACGAACAGTGGCGGATGCACGATGCGGGATAAGGAGGCTAAAACAATGGAGATGTTGATTTGCATGAAGATTTAATGGTAAAATCAAGCTTTTGCTACAGTAATTATGCTTGAAATCAAAACATTAGGGGGGCCGGAGCCCCCAGCGCCTCCTTTGGATCCACCACTGATTACGAACTACAGTAGCACTTTTGTTTCGTTGTGGACAGAAGGAATCTCAGCATATATATACTAGGGCGTGTTTAGTTCATCCCAGATTCTCAATTTTGCCACTTTGCAAAAAGAAGATTCCCCGTCACATCAAACTTGCGGTACATGCATGGAGTACTAAATGTTGATGAAATCAAAAACTAATTGCACAGTTTGGTTGTACTTTGCGAGACGAACGTTTTGAACCTAATTAGTCAACGATTGGACAATTGTTACCAAACAAAAATAAAATGCTACAGTGTGCTACAGTGGTCTACAGGAATTTCGGCGGCGCCGATTCCTGCCAACTAAACATGGCCCTATTAGGGATGTCATCTTCAAAATCATCAACTTCAGGAATTATGGATAAAGATAGACCAAGATACAGTTGGTACGGTGGAAGGAGGCAACGTGACACTCAGAAATTGTGGCCACGGAAGAGGCCACGCACCATGATACAAGCATATATTATATTTATATGATTTGTTATGGACAGATTTTTTTTTACTAATAAATCTGTCAGATTTCTATATGTTTCATCGTGCTTTTGGATCTATACTACAATTGTCTACTGGGTCGCATTTATAAAAAAAAATTTGACAGATTTGATCAACTAGACACTCCCTTATTATAGGCAGGAATGGAGTTGGAACTTACGAGTAGGCTGTGCCGTTTAAGGTCGGCCAACGATCTTACGACACGAAATATTTTGGATCGTGCTGCAACATAGCACGAACGCAACGATCCTGTTTTGAGGGCCGTGTTTGGCACGATGGGTTGTATAGCCCGGCCTGTTTTTTGGTTGTGCTTAGGCCAACGTGGCACGAAAATAGCACATTGGCAAATGCAATCTTCTAGTATTTACTATACTAACTCTCATGTAATTTTTTGATAAATTATAAAAATTATCGAAACTCTCATGAAATACTACATATAAAATATATGTTTGTATATGCCATAAGCGGACAAAGAAAACTAATGAAGATCTTTTGAGGGCCGTGTTTGGACAAACACGACGCAAAGGCATACCATAAGCCGTGCTTAGGTCGAATCAAAGACATGTCTTGCCACGACAAGGCTCGACATGCATGCCTCGCGTGCCTAGAGGTCACGACGTTCTAGAGCCGAGGAACGTAAAGTCAATGCACAAACCAGTAGCTTTAGATCAGAAGGCATGATTAGAGAGAAAAGTTGGTCCTCTTTTGCTTTGAGCCTTTGAGAATAATGGTTGTAGTATCGCCAGCATAATGCAAAACCGGACAAGGTGCTCCCTGAACAACTGGGTGCTCAAACCTCGAAGACACAATTTCACTCGAAGCAGCATTGAGCATCTGCCGTAAAACGTCGGCCTAGGGAGATAGGGCATCTCCTTGCCATGAATGTCCCCGTCTTCTTCTTCTTCTTCTTCTTCTTCTTCTTCTTCTTCTTCTTCTTCTTCTTCTTGATCTAGAAGTACAATTAAGTAATACTCCAGATGTTTGGCTAGTGGATAAAATTTGTTGAACCCAAAGTCTCCATTTTGTAGCTAGGGAAGTTGAAGTTTTTAGCTTTATTAGTTTGGTGGGCGCTGTACAAGTTCAAGAAACTATAGTGCAAATGATGAGTTGCATTCTGCTTATAAAAGCGGCTCGATGGACGCTTCTGAGTTCGGACCACTTACACACACAGCCAAAGGCAGTAACTGGGACGTAGCCTGGTAGGTAACATTGTTCCCACAGGCACAGATGAATCCAGCGCACGAGCCTCTTGCAGGCCGGGTGGCCATCGTGACGGGAGGCTCCGGGGGCATCGGCTCCGCGGTGGCCACGCACCTGGCGTCGCTCGGCGCCCGCGTCGTCGTCGGCTACATCGGCGAGTCGGCCCCCGCGGACCAGCTCGTGGCGTCTCTCAACTCCTCGTCCGCCCCCGCCCCCGCGGACAACGACTCCAGGCCGCCGCCGCGCGCCGTGGCGGTGGCCGTGGACGTGTCGGACCCGGCGCAGGTGGCGCAGCTGTTCGACGCGGCGGAGGCGGCCTTCGGCCCGGACCTGCACGTGCTGGTTGCCGCGGCGGGGGTGCAGGACGCGTCGTACCCGCGGATCGCCGACACGTCGCCCGAGCAGTGGGACCGCGCGTTCGGCGTGAACGCGCGGGGCACGTTCCTGTGCTGCCGGGAGGCGGCGCGGCGGCTGGCGCGCGGCGGCGCGGGCCGCATCGTCACCTTCTCGTCCTCCAACGTGGCGTCGCTGAGGCCAGGGTACGGCGCGTACGTGGCGACCAAGGCGGCCGTGGAGGCCATGACCAAGGTGCTGGCCAAGGAGCTCGGCGGGACGGGGATCACGGCCAACGCCGTCGCGCCGGGGCCCGTCGCCACTCCCATGTTCTACGCGGGCAAGTCGGAGGAGCGCGTGGCCGCCGCCGCCCGCGAGTGCCCCATGGGGAGGGTCGCCGAGCCGGCGGACGTGGCGCCCGTGGTGGGATTCCTTTGCACCGATGCCGCCGGGTGGATCAACGGGCAGGTCATCCGAGTCAACGGCGGCTACGTGTAACGGTTTAAGGAGCCTAGCTAGCTTGTGTGGGACTGGGAGCTGGACGTACGGATTTCATGCATACAGTATGCATCATGTTCGCCCTAAACAAAACTCTACTGTGCTTCGTTCGCTGTGTCACTGCATGTCACTAAGCATGGCGCCGGACAAGACAATTGTACGAACGGTTAGTTTGATCTCCACCAACAATGGCTAATTGGGCTCTTGGATCGGGCTCTTGGATCCGTGTCTTGATCGGGGGCGCCCAATCACTCCATAGTTGGTGGATCCCTGTCACACAGCACCATAAAAGGGAGGTGGTGGGCGGGGCACAAGGTACGAGGTTGACCTGAGCCGCCGCATCCCGCCTATAGAGAAACCTAACCCGATCTAGAGGGAGCGGTGCTGCCAGCGACGGGAAACCCACTGCCTCGTCGTCGCCGAGATAGCACCGCCTCCGCACCACCGCCTTCATCATTTCGGACTTCACAGCATCACCGACATCACTATGGACGGCTCCAGCTCCACCGCCAAACCCTCCGATGACCGGTGACGTCTCACCTCTCTCCCTTCCCTCTCTGTCTCTCTAGTTCTACATATACTAGGATGCACTACATCGTTTATCCCGAATAGAACCATTCTACCGGCTAGATCTATGCTCCTAATGATCCTATTTGACTAACACGAACTCCTTTTCCTCAATAAAAAAGTGTGAGAAGACTTTTATATTGTGCATTTTTTTAGCAAAGAGAAAGCTTTATTAACTGGCCTCGAGAAGGTTCCAAGCACACGCAGAAGCTAGTTCTTGCCAGGCCACAGAATGTTTACATCGTCTGGCTAATGAAGTTAAAGCATTTGTTACTTGGTTGCGGTCTCTCTTTTTTTTGGAAAATCTTCCATTCACTCATCGTTTGAGCCATTCCTTTCACCTCCTCTATAATTAAGCTAACACTGTGCATTACATTTGTGTGCCTTTCAGTGTGTGATTGAGGTTGAGGATTATAAAGCAAAAGTGCAACAACGACATTGTCCTGCTGGCGAAAGAAAATACGTCAATATCGGACCCTCACGAGCTGGAGGATGTGATAGGAATCCAACTCTGGCCTTGGTCGGTTGTTGTCAAAATCAAAGTGATTGAAGGGGATTGGAGAGGGTTGAGGGAGATGACTCGTAGAGGATTTAATTCTCCTCTATCCTTCCGATTCTCTTGGTTTTGGATCAAACGAACAGGTCCTCAGAGGAAGACATTAAGGGTGTCCTCAATGGAGAGGAGCAAAACGCTAGCGACTTGAGCTCTAGAAATAATAAAAAAAACAGAACCGGAGTGAAGAGGCGTGTGAGCTATGAGAAAGCATTTCTTGAGAGACATGCGAGACTAGCGATTTGGCACTCGATAGCGCGTTCATCCAAGCCAATTAAATTCATTTCATGCTAGCAATTTGGCTCCCGTTTGGGAGAAGTGAACCGTCGACACTGAAAGCGAGGAAAGTAGCTTAGGGCCGGGGACCCAAACCCAACTACCATACATGTTTAAAGTTCAGCAACACCAAAATCATCAAGAGAATAAAGACCTTCTGATGTGTAGCTAGACGGATTTCAAGACGTTTGCTTTGCACCTAAAAAAGTTCCCTAGTCGTGGCAAGTGGCAATACTTAGCTTTCAGGCATTCGATTTCGAACGCATGCAAACAATCACAAATAAACATGTCTTTACTCCTTAGCACGTGTTTAGATGCAGCCCCGATCTGTCACGTCTATCCGATATGCGCATCTGACGAGGCGCTTAAAATTGAACGTCTAGGAATGATGTTTGGCTCACACAGTTTTACCACGCCATCATTTAAATGTTAAACGGCCTTGCAGTCCATGACTATTGGCCAGAAGCCGCAAATATGAGCAGACAAATCATATATGCAACAAGAAACGCCACTTAAAGGTAAAACAAAAAAAACACTTATTATAAGGATAATTAAAAAAAACGCCACTTAAGGCAACCACATGCGTTTAAGCGACCACCTGGATGATCCTAGTACTGTTCCTCCGGTGAACAAAATTAATTGTACCACTTGCGGAAAAAATGTTTCCTTCCATGGTAAAAAAAAATTGTTCCGTCGTTGATGAAAATGAAAATGTCCCATCAGTGTTCGTTCAGCATATAAGAACAAAAATTTCATCCATGGGCAAAATTTGTTCCATCGGTGAAGAAAGAATGTTACATCTATCGGTAAACAAAAGCTTTTCCATCGGTAAAAGGAAAAAAAAACACTCCAGATCTTTTTTTTAGGGGAACTCGAGATAACAAATGTATTTGCCTTCTTCATTCGGTTCTTCCTCTTCTATGGTGACCAGATCCTTTTCTTCTCCAGTAGCAGCCCATATCGTGGCGAGTTCCCTCTCGTCATCAAACTCTGACTCTTAGCCCATGAGGCCACACGGCCCACACACCCTTACAAAAGTAAGGGACCCTTTTCATACTTCACCGGGATAACTAATTCCTCCTTCGGCATGTCAAGGTGACAAAAGTCTAGGAGGGACTTATCGACGTCCGGCGCGCGAGTGCGTATGGACGCCGGTCCTTCCTAAAGCCCGCCCACCACACGTACGAAATAGAATGGAACCCCGCTCATCCCTACGTATAAAAGGGAATAGAACGAAACCCGCCCGTGTCCTCCGCTCCCCACCGCGTTCCTGTCCCCCTTTCCCCAACGCATCTCTGTCTCAAAAGATAATGAAACATTTCAAGTGCAACATTGCAAACATACGGAAAAACTATATAGTACAACATCGGGATATAAATACTGCAATATTGCAAAAATATGTAGTGCAACACTGAAAAACATACACTGCAACATCGAAAAATATGTACTGCAACAAAAAAAATATGTACTGCAACATCGAAAAAATATGTACTGCAACATCAAAAATATGTACTGCAACATCGAAAAATATGTGCCGCAACATCGAAAATTATGTAGTGCAACATCTCAAACAGTAGTACTGCAACATCGCAAAAATGTTTGTTACAACGACCCAAAAATCCCATTGCAACATTCGAAAAATCATATGTTGCAACATCCCGAAAAACACATTGCAACACAGGAGAAACAGCAAAAAAAACGTACAAAACAGCCCCTGGCCCATCACTTTTGAGCTCGCCGGAGGAAGGAGGGAATAGGGCCCCAGAGCTTGTCGGAACCCTAGCCACCGCCGCGTTCCTCAGATCCAGAGAAAGAGAAGGAGGGCTCAGATCCAGAGAAGAACCCGACCTATCTCGTCGGAGCCGCCACCGTCATCCTCGTCTCCGGTGGGGTCGCATGGAGGGAGGGAGGGAGGGGCGGTGGCGACCTGGCGCGCGAGCGCGGCCCAGAGAACGGCGCACGGTGCAGCAGCGAAGTGGGTGCGGAGGAGCGGGGGGAGAGTGGGCGAGTGGGCACTGGGGGTCACGGGATGGGATAAGGAGTCGGTGGGCGCGTCTGGTCAAGTCGTTCCGTGTGCGGGTGCATCCGAACGGAACGAACGCCGCATACAGTATCATTATCGTATCCACGTCACAAGCATTCAAGCTTCGATCTGATTCGGACGTAATCGTCCTCTCCTCCAATAATGATTGGCGCCATCACTAACCGCACCAACCTTCTCGGCTAGCTGACTGGCGATATCCAGCGTTCCCGCTTGCGGTAGATCTGCCACGCCATTGCCATGAATTGGAGTCCAGACAGCCATCCGATCGATCCATTGGGATGTGTTTGGTTTCTTCACACGAATCCTACTCCTCCAGCATGACGCTCGATCCATATATAGAAGAGCCAAGGCCCTGTGTGCATAACTTTCTTCCAGTTCCCTAGACAGTGCCCTCTATAGAGTCTAGACCCGTCGCGGCCTTGCATCCCAGTTCCAGACGCCGAGCGCTACGTAGGGCTTAACGCTTGGCAGTTTGGATAGATTTCTATCGATAGAGTCTGGTTGGGCTTTTTGTCTGCGGGTCGCATAGCAAAAAAATCCATATTACCTCTCTTAACTTTTGCAAAAGTCTATTTTTTCTCCCTAAACTCTAAAACCGGTAAACCACCTTCCTGAACTTTTAAAACCGTTCGTTTTACCTCCTTGACCGGTTATAAGCTGTTTTCTAAGACGATTTTATCTTTTTCTTTTTTATATATTTCGGCTGAATCTTTGAAAAATCATAGTAAATCATAGAAAAATCATGAAATAGAAAATCCATTTTTATTGTGCTCCATATGACTAGATCTGCACAGTGAACATATAATATGGTATGCTTTAGTACAAAAGCATAGATCTAAATCTACAACAAAATTTAGATCTATGCTTTTGTACTAAAGCATACCATATTATATGTTCACTCTGTAGATTTAATCATGTGGGGTCCAACAAAATTAGATTTTTCATTTTATGATTTTTCTGTAATTTACTATGATTTTTCAAAGATTTAGCCGAAATAAATAATAAAAAAAAAACCGCCTTTGAAACCGCTTATAACCGGTCAGGGAGGTAAAACGAACGGTTTTAAAAGTTCAGGGAGATGGTTTACCCGATTTTAAAATTCAAGGAGAAAAAACAGACTTTCGTAAAAGTTGAGGGAGATAATGTGGATTTTTTTCAGGTCACATAATCCTTCTGCGATGTTGTGCACTCCATGGCAAGCCTGCCAACTGTTAAAGAGCATCTTCTTTTTTTTCAGGGAGAAAGACAAATACTTGTCTTTTTTCCAAAAAAAAAATGGATTTAATCTTTTCCATAAAACAAGATTTTATTTGTATTGTCTAACTCGAGCAACCAAGCCTTAATGCCTTATCGTTAGTTTCACCTTTAGTGGCGTTTATATTCCCTTCAAAATGCATGGTAACAACACAGTCATGCTTTCCAAAGTAACTCCAAACTTAAACATTTCTTAAAAAACAGATAAAGCTTAAGAAATGCATCAAAATTTCATACAAATCTTTGATCTCGTGACATTCCAAACCGACAATAGACAATAGATATGTTATGCACATCCGTCACAGGATAAGATGGCCAAAATAATTGAAAATACATCACTAAGCTAGCATACATACCAACATATCGTATAAACCAAATTATTACACATATTTGTTGGCAACAAGTGTGCAACTTCATCATAATCTAAAAGCCTGTCTCTTCTTTGTCGTCTACATGATATTATGGAATCCAGCAATCGATTGCGGTAAAGATTCCTCTCCTCTTGATTGTGGTAAAGATTTGAAGATACCATTCCGAATAACAACGAGCAATAACAAATGAATCATGACGACCTTCATAGTAAATCATTTACGCCTGATGAATCAAAGTACAATGCTCGATAAGTCAAAGGGGTAATTACAAAAAAAAACAAGTCAATATGTACAAATACGAATGCAGAAAAGTAACCATGGATAAAATATACAACACAAGAAAATAAAGCAACAAGCAAGCCCTTAGAGTGAAACATCATTCATCCAGAAACGGAAAATGATATTGCACATTCAGTTAGCTGGAGTCGATAAAAGGAGCAACAGACAACGATCAACAAATGTGCACAGGATAGTTTCACATGAAAAACTGTAGTCTGTAGCTGCAATCAAAACAATGTGTTCCATGCATGCATAACTGAACTCTCTAGTTGAATGTCAACTAATAATAAATGCACAGTCAACAGTATAAGTGCCCTTTGACAGAAACATTTCAAAGTAAAATAAAAAAGGTTCCATTATCTTTAAAAAATGAGAAATTATCACTACTTGCAATTATTACTCACAACAACAACGACGACAACAACATAGCCTTTCAGTCCTAAGCAAGTTGGGGTAGGCAATTATTACTCACAAAAGAGACAAAATATATCCTGATAAAACAACCATGACTCTTACACTAATGACCTAAAATCTAAAGAAAATAGTGATAATAAAGCTATAAAAGCTCTGCTGGTTTGAGATAAGAACAATATCAATGTACCAGCGTCATACAAAGACCAAAAGTCGGTAGCAGTTAATACCACTAAGCACGAGTGATAAGTAGATTAGCAGCAAATGTGTTGAGCACCAGCACATCAAAAGAGGAAACTTAAAGAAACTTTAAACATTTAAGCAAGGCAGACTATACCCCAAGGCGCCACTGCCACTTTCCCTTCGCTCTCCACTTGCAAGCTTTGCTCTGGTTGTATAGTTGCCCTTTGTTCCTGAAAGGAGAGAATCGCCTAGCTTGTAACAAAAGACCAAAAACAATGCAAAGATGAAAAAAAAAACAGAGAAAGAGATACTGATCCCCTCACCAATATTCACATCGGCAACAGGTGTAAATATGATAGATAAGGTTACAGGGGCCAAACACCGGACCCCTTCGGATGCAACCGTCCATGGCCCGTGACCAAGTGTTAGTATTAAGGTGGTACTGAACAAGTGACCCATCTTTCATGCTGGGCAGAACAATGGTGTCGCTGACAACAGTAGGCAATGCCCCATTAGAGGAAACAGATATACACCTATCATTAATGAACAGAGCCTTATCTCCAATGCTTCTTAATGGAATCAGCTTTTCCAATTTAAGATCTTCAAGTCTATGAACCACCATATGCGAACGCGATCTATCAGTGTAGCCACCCACAAGGATCTGCGAGTTGCATTCTACTAGGAAGATTGATTTGGCGAGCTTGTCACTTGGAATTGTGGCGATCAACTTGGGTTCTGGCAATGAAGAACCTAAGCCTGCGACATGGTCCCCGTCCTCCTGTGGAGGATCAACTTGGAATATATCCGAGTTCTCTTCAGGTATAAAACTCAATCGCACCATGTATAGTTTGCCTTGGAACGACAAGGGCCTATCACAACGTAATGTCCAGGTTGAAATGTGCCATTGCTGATCCAGGGTGGTAGCAAAGGCTACAGAGCCCATCCGATGAAGTGCAAGCATGACAGTGATGACTCCAGTGGCACTAACATTGAAGGAAGCACAGACTCTTCTGAGGTAGACGAAGCGTTGTGTCAGGTGCGAAGCCCCGGGCAGGTCACGGTTAACAATATGCGGCACAAGGGTCACAAGCGGTGGGAGGTCGACAACGTCACCAGTGAAAGGATGGAAGAGACGGATGACTGTGTCCTGGTCCCGGTGCATGACCAGGAGGCCATTGACCGAATCGAGGATGCAGTGGTCCTGAAAGACCGGGAGCTTGGCTCGCACGAACCTCCCCGTGTCGAGGTTGAAGAAGCGGATGTAGCCGCGGAGCTTGCCATGGGCCGGGTACAGGTCGTGGCCTCCGGCAGCATCATCCAGCGACACGGGTGGAAGCGCGGGTCGATGATGCTGTGGCCGCGCGGGCAAACGGTGCTAGACCGCCAGTGGGTGCAAACCGCGCGAAAGTGGACATAGTCCAGCAAGTCGCCGGCCAGCACACGCCAAGCAATCAGGCGAACCAAGTCTTCATTCATTGATGCCCAGGGAGACGACGCTGCACCAGGTGCATCAGTTGATATAGGCGCTGTGAGGTGACGACGGCGTTTGATGCTGGTGCTGCTACAGGCAGTTAAGGAACATTGAGCCGATGATCGCTTCTGATGCTCCAGCAGTGACATTCCGGATCCAACAGATCTGGTTCACCAACACTCTCTTTTACCGGGGGAGATTCAGCAGTTTAGAGGAGATTCGATGTCACAAATCTCGAACCTGAAAATATAATCCAAACGAAGTCAGGAACCAGAGCTAGCGAAATTTATATGAACTGTAAACGATGGCGAACGGACCTCGTGACTGGATTGTGTCCAGCAGACACATTGCTGAAGATTTATGTACCATTGGATGGAATTCGAAGCGGATACGAAATCGAAATCCTTACAGGATTGCAGCAGAGAACGGATTCCGAAATGAGAAGACAGATAGGGATAGGTCAAATCTCGATCCGGAAATGTAGGCGAAATAGGGAACCGCTAGCGAAATTTGTATCGACTGTAAACGATGGCGAACGCACCTGAGAGGAGGACTCGATTGTGTCCTGGAGGCACAGTTCAATATAAGTCCGGTACTGAAGATTTATGTACCATCGGATCGAATTCAAAGCGGAGATGGAATCCTAAGAGTAGGACTGCAGCAGAGAACGGATTCCTCTTTCCGGACGGAATAGGAAAAAACAAGGAGACCTAGAACAGATATAGATAGGTCGAGGAAACAGAATAACTTCTTGCAAAATCCCCTGTCAAAACACGTGCTCACCCGAGATCTCGGTAGGGTTCCCGCAATGGCGACACCTTTCGGCGACGCGCTGCTGAACTCGGCGCCTTTGCTCGGCGACGTAGGGCGGCGCAGCGGAGGCGCGCTGTGCCGGTCGTCGCTCGGAGGCGCGGCGGGCCGGCGGGGCAGGCGCCGAGCGATGCGTGAGCCGTGATTTCTAAAATTGGTCGTGCCAAAGATTTAGTTAGTCAAAATTGAATTAAAAATTATTATAAATTTGACGAGCCAAATAGGAGTGTTTGATAAGTTTTTTTTAGTAAACCAAATACTATGCACAATCATAGCTGGCTAAATCTGGCATGAAAAATTTTAGGAGCGAACCAACCAGGCTCTTTGGGCCAAGTTTTTGTAAGGTTTTTGTTCCCAATTTTCTCAATACATAAGGTCAATTTTGTTATTCTTATTAAGTGAATAGCAGGAACTCTCTGCCCTCATTGAAGAGGCTTCTTAAAAAAAGGTAAAGCATGATAAAATCCATTAGGGTGGGCATTCGGGGTTACCTGAAAATTTCATGTTGGGTAATTTGGGTAATTGAAAATTCAGGTATTAGAAATTGCTATAGATTTTGGTATCTAAAAAGTATTACCCAAAAATTTAGGTGTGGGTTTTACCCGATATACCTAAAATTGATAAAACCAACGTTTTTAAAGAATTCTAGTAGCATTTTAAACCAATAAACACCCGTCCTTCAAATTACATCATGTCTTTATCTTAATTAACAACAAACCAATTATTCAGTTAATATAGATCTACATCGAGCCATTCCAAATAATAGATTTACACTGCACTAAACCACTTAATGTCTTCATATTTATTAGGAATAGAAGAGCAAAGGTTTTAGATATATCTAGTAATTCCGGTACTGAGGAATATTACCCGAACTAAATTCGGATTATGATTGGGTATTTTGGGTTTAGGTACATCGGGTACGGATTTGGGTAATTCAGACTCGGTGATTGAGTATCGGGTATTTTCCCAGTCGGGGGGATCCCGCCACGTTAACTCACCTAAATCGAGTGTCATCCACTTGACCGGCTAAATTTAGGCAAACCAACCTCGCGGGCCCTAGGAGCGTACGTAGCAACTCCTCTTCAGGATCAGGTTGAGTGGCATACAATAGTCACATACCAAACAGGCACAGGCTAATGAATAATGCTCAAACGGATTATATTGGATAAAAGTACAGGAGAAAGTTTACATAAGTTACGTGGTCTAATCCAACCATCAGGTGAGATCCAGAATCCATTCTAGAGTTGATCACTCATGGTCACTCGGACAAACTACGGAGTTAACTTGTAGCATGCTCGGGTCGCCCTTCCCTAATGCTACTAGGCAGCAGTGATGGAGACTCGACTCACATCGATCTACATCGTTCCTACAAAACAACTTAACGGCTGCACCGTGAGTACATTGCGTACTCGCATGACTTAATTCCAACACATAATATTTGGTGGATGCACAGGGTAATTATCAGACATTTGTGTAAGTGCGGAAAGCAATGATGTTCATTAAGATTATGACATGCTATGCTCGACATTAGAAGTAAAGGTATTTATCATTATAGCAAGGTGCTCATAAACCATCTTCCATTCTATCATGGGTATAAAAAGAAAGAACAACCGAATAGTTCTGTCTCGAGGGACTTCAGGCTTTGAAGACTCTACAGAGGTGTACAACTGTACCCACATGGAGAAATGGGACAAACCTCCATATCTCATGCACCGGAGATTAGGGTTGCCTCATGTCTTCAACCTTTCCCTAATCCGACCCGAATGTCCAACGAAAGGTTCAACTAGGTTCCCAGTCAATGTCCCGGACATTCCCGACCGATGACACCCCCCCTTGCCAGTTTCACTGATAAACAGGTCACAACTAGTTACTCGGCTTGTCGACCCTATCCACGACATATGGTCTGTACGAGTGGTTACTCGAACTTACGTATCCCAATACACGGTCCTTATAGCTCCACGAGCTATGTCATCTGAGATCCCACACTCACGACGACCTACCCCTCGCATGAGCAAGATATCCAAGTTATCATTAGGATTATCATAATAGGAACATTAGTCCTTAGTCAGATTAGTCAGGTAAGTCAAGTTGTACCCTCATTGGTTTTAGTAGTTAATTATCCAGGTGTAGCATCCTACACGCGCGAGTATGAGTTCTCTTCTCATGCTCGACTTCTGTTGTTGCCCAATCAACTAAGCAATAAGCATTAAGCATCCCCATTCCCATTGTTTAGATGAGAGGCTTCTACAGATTATTAAGCTATTCTAGGTATAGTGTGAAGGTGATCATCATCCAAGACTATGTGTAATGCATGACTCATAATGTAACTTGATAAGTATCCAAAGTAGGTTTCATAATAGTGGGGTGCCTGTCTAGTGGTGTTGATGTTCAGACATTTAGGAGCTGACGACGAAGACTTACACACGTTCCTTACTTGAGACGGTCCTGAAAGAATACAAGAGATCGACTAAGAGACTCATCGACGGTCAAAACGGTGAGGAGGAACATGGGTGGATAGGATTAGGTTACTACTTTAGAACTTAGGGAGAGTCATATCACTGTGGCTCTACTACTGCATTGGGTATGACTAAGCTCTCTTGGTTGTAGGTTGATTACTCAGGTAGGTTGCTTAAGCGAGCTCGGTCTTCCAGTGACTGGCGGACACTTCATCCTACCCACGGACATTCTGCTGTGCTAGATACCGAGATGTGTTGTCTCTGGTCTTGCTCTATACTGATCAACGGAAGCTCCGCGGAGCTCATGGAGACTCCAATAGGTTTTGGGACTTAGACTTATCTAGAGTTGTCTGTCCACATCGGATACTCCAATCAATCGACGGACACTCTGGTATGAACTAGGTGCTCTTGGGTTGCTGGGTTACTGTTCTCTATAATTCAACGGATACTCTGCTACGAGTGACGGACGCTCCGTTGTGCGGTTAGGTGCTCTCTAATACTTGTGTCGCTCTCTGCATGGTTTGATGGACGCTCCGTTGTGCTAAGCTGACGGGGGATAAGGTTCCTTAGTGGTTTCCTTAGGCCTGACGGATACTCCGTCGGTTTGACGAACACTCTGTCACACAGGCAACAGAACCTATGCTCTAGGGAAATCCTAGACTTCAAGCTTAGATTTATGGAGTTGTGCATCTTGCATGTGCCAAACATTCTTATGGTAGTTTAGGTGGCTTACTAGGCTCACTACGGCTAGGTTGTAAGATAGTTTCACTAAGTGTGGCTTAAGGCTAAGGGATTAAACCAAAACTCATGAGATAAGAGATAAACCTTGAGATCGGGATAGAGATCCTTAGCTCTGAGATTAAGAGCTTCCATAGCCAAGAGATTGAAGATCCAACTCTTCTTCCATCCAAGTCTCCATCGTTTCCAACCTCCATAAAAAACCACACATTAACTACTTTGGGCAAAATCCACAAAATGAGAGCTGCTCTCTTGAGCTCACCGTGACTATGTTGAAGAGGTTGATGGAATCCATGGGAAGGTGTTGATGCTTTTCTTCCTCCTCCTCCTCCTCCTGTCCTCCTCCAATCCTCTCTTCATTGCTTTCTCTCTCTAGTTCTAGGGTTCTTCCTTGTTCTTAAGAGGGAGAGAGAGGGTGTTTGCAAATGAGTGGATAAGTGAGAGGTGGGTGGGAGAGTGCTCCTTCAGCTGGTGAAGTACTCCAACTCATGCTAACATGTGGGTCCAAGTCCATAAATAAGAAACAACTTAATTTCCACTTAGCTCTGTTCTATCCTAACTTTTATCGGATGGTCCGATGTGCTGGCGGACGGTCTGGTATTCCCTGTCTCTGCTGAATTGACTAAGTCATTAACTGAATGTTATCGATGACCATGGCATCACGTTGAGGTACGTCCTTAGAAATGATTGTGGTGTTGATGATGTCAATAGAAGGATTGCTACTCCACGTAGATGTTCTCTTCCACTCCGGACATGAGCCTGACCATGGTTATCCGGGTTTTCTCACAAGGTGCTTCAGTGGGTTCTTGATGTCGAGTGTTGCGTTGCACATTGTAAGTATTCACGGATGGTTGGTGGTTGTTTCCGTTTGATAAACCAAAACGGTTGTCTGGGTTGCAACAAATTCGGGTCGTTACATTCCCCACCCCTAGAACCCATATAGTGACAACAATCTTATAGTAAACTTATTATTCAGGACCATCATTTGTACCATCTTCAAAATAGAATATTTTAAAATAAAATCCATACAATATGTTTATCACTTAGATAGTGTTTGGTTCGAGGAACGGGAACATCCCAATGGGATATTCCACTTTGAGATGGCGTTAGGTCTCAGAACCAAGCACAAATATATAAGTTGTTTA